ATCATACACCACAAACTCCGTCACCATTGAATTTTCAAAAACACCATCTTTGAGTTCCGAACATAGGTAACAGGACACTTGCATCTGTCCCATCATTGAAGAATCTCTGTCACTACCATATAATCCCCAACCGCTGGCATTGCTCTTCTTTCTGCTTCCGATGGAGTGAAAGGTATACACCCAATTAATAGAATTATCTGCTTTCCATGTCCTGGCCACCAAGACGTCTCCTGAGCACTTCAACGAGAACTCAAAAAATGGCATTCCGTGTTTATTTTGTAACTTAAGATGGCCATGTAGGTGAACTGGCGAGCATGCAACAACCGATTGGTGGCTATCTCGGTTGATACGCTGAGGATCACAATCTGGACTCTGTGCTGTATTTGAATAGACTGGCAACAAAGATTTTTTATGTGACCTGTTTCTTGTCATGTTTGCCGGCTCAGACATTTTGGATTTGCCAGGTTCCACTACATAACTCAGAGTTCTCAAAGACTTAGACTTCATGAATGGATCAAACATCTTTATAATAGGGCTGAACCGAGTCTTTGAGCTGACCCTGGATGAGCGAGCACTCTCTGGTGGGGAGCGAGATTGGAGCATTTCCACCTTAGCAGAGAAAGACTTGTGCAATGTGTGAACTTGGTCTCTTTCCAGAAGTTCATTACCATTATTTAGAGGTCCAGCAACCGCGTCACTTCTTAGTTTCAGATCCACTGCGAATTCTCGTAAAGTTTCAGCAGAGTGCTTTTCCCTGTAACCGGGATCCATACAAATATCAATCAAACTATCTGATGAGCATGGTTCAACATGAGGCCGGCCAACAGATGGTGCGTTCAAGTCTGATTTCAAAGATACCACTGAAGACCTATTCTGTGTACTCTCCTCATCTGAACTACACATCGTGTCAACAATTCGGTAAGAGAAAGAGGTGTCACTACTTCGCGGCATTCCAACTTTTCTCCTTCCTTCAACAGTGCCCATTTTCTTAATATTTTGTACCTCTTTGGAGCTTTGATATATAGAACCACGCTTAAGGTCTATGTTAACAACAGGCCTAGATGGAACACTTTTACAAGAAGCGCTGCGATAGTGATGAAAGCTGATTTCCACGAAATCCTCCTTTATGCTCAATAAATCATCTTTATGTTTTAATTTTCCTTTTGTGCTCCTTCTTTCACCATGGGAATGAGGACGATGAGTTGGAAGCACAGTGTTAGGACTCAAACCTACCATGCAATTTCTATCGAAATCCATCTCTAATCCCATTGACAGATCGGAAACTCTGCAACAGAGATGGAAACAATATCAACAAAGATCAAGACCTGCAGGATATAATTTAATCCTAACAACACTGCTAAAAATGACATGCAGTTTCTACATTAAAATTGAGGGCTTGTTTAGAAGTAAAAGTGCTACCTGCAAGAAGCACCAGTTATGTGCTTCTTGTAGGAAGCAGTGTTTCTCCAGGATTCACTTGCATTTTTAATAAGGATTGGTTCCAAAAACATTTTCATCAAAAGCGGTTTCAGCCATTTTAAAAGCCCTTTCAAACGAGTCCTAAATTCTTTCCCCAAAATAGGCAGGCAAATACATTGAACAGAAATAAATACACCAAAGAAAAGCATTCAACTGCAACAAAAATTAACACCAAAGGCAGTTACTACATCTCATCTGCCAAAATAAATCTGTCTAAATACAATGCACTATGAAAAGGGATACACTTTCTGCAAAATTGATAAAAACAGAAGAAATTAGATTTCAAAGAGCAATTTACTTGCACAGATATACTGATTCCAATGCACTTCTCTATCTGCAGAAAATTAGATCTATAATTTGCAAAATTCCAAAAATTATTGAAAAAAAAAATAGTTGAACGATCCTCACCTTGGCAGAAACCATTGTTTGAAAAGGCACAAAACCCATCAAAGATTCCAAACTTTGAGATCACATAAACCTCAAAAAACCAGAACTTGATCTCTCCAAAAATGAAAACCCATAACCCAAAAGCACACAAGAAATTCTAATGACTTCAAAAGCACCCAAATGAGTAAAGCAGTACAGCCAAAAGCTATATATTCCAGAAAAGAAGTTGCTTGTATTTTCACTTGCATTTGAAGGCAACCAAAAAAAATAATGGTTGCAGAAAATGTGCTTACCCCACCACAGAGCAGATCTCTCAGATAAGTGAAGCCAAAGGAAAACCCACAAAGCTATCAGCAGATGCAATCATGTTCTTCAATCTCTTCCACTCAAAGTTTCCTTGAATCTTCAACAGCAAAAAAAAACCCAAAACTCCCAAAAGTGTAAATATATATTTCACTCGAGATAAAAAGGAAAAGAAGAGACTAATCAGAACAAGGCCAAGGGCAGTAAAGCATGAGAGACACAAAAAGTGAGGTCTAGAGAGAGAGAGAAAAAGGTGGATGATGGGTGAGACAATGTAATAAGAGAGAGAAAGCATGCCAGGAGAGAGAGGGGGAGAGAGAGAGAGAGAGAGAGAGAGAGAGAGAGAGAGAGTGACTTCACACTTCACAGTGAAAATCTCTCTAAGTCACACACACAAGAGGAAGAGTGCAAACAAGAGTTTCGTAGCATTGAAGAGACAAAGAGCTGCAGCCTACTCTTAAAGTTAAATCTTTGCCCTTCAACTCACCATATGCTGCTTTTTTAATTTTTTAATTTTTAATTTTTAATTTTTTTTTTATCTCTCTTTCAAAACAGGATTAGTTGAAGATTCGTTAATGCAGTCCACTCTTTAAAGGTCGAGAAAGATTTACATAAATATTTCAACTTTTTCTTAACCATCATTTTGCTATTCATTATCAACAAGAATCGAACCCCTAACATGTCACGTGGATTTAACTTTTCCATTTTTTTTGTTACTTTTTTCTCTTTCATTTTGTGTTTTTTTTTCTTTTTCTTTTTTAATTTCAATTTTCTGGGTTATAATTTATTTGTACACATGGCGACCTTGGAGAGAGCACCCATGTTTAGAAAGACTATAAAGCCATTCTTCTGGACCATTGAAATAAAGGGGTATTTTTGGAATTTTGATGCCATTGATTAGAATAAGGTTGGTGTCCTTTACCTCGCACTGCCACAAATTAATTATTATGTTCTACGGTTTTGGGAAATTGCAAATATCAAAAACTGGAATCCCACAATTAATCTGACGGTTCCCTATAATTAATTAATTAATCAAATCATTAAATTAATTTAGTGAAATGCAGATCTTGCCCTACTATAATTTAATTATAATTACTCTAAAACTCCTCAAATTTTCAAAATTTAGATACTTCTTAGTTGACAAGAAAGCCCTCTAGTATTATTTTCAAATGCAATCTTCTCAATAGGATCACTTTTGGATGGGATCAAATTTCTCTGTCCAAAATGGATGTGGTCTCTCTGCGTCCTCAAAAGCTGACAGACACATGTTTATAAATTAAACTTTTCTTAACTTTCTTGTCATAAGTTAATATATGTCAATCAATAATTGAGACAGCATTAAGGCTACACCCATTTTGGGTGCAGGAGATTTGATCTCCTTTTTTTATTGTATTATTTTTTATTAAATGATTTCAAACTAATTAGATTTGAGAAAAATTCGGAGAAAAAAGGGAATAAGCACAAAGCCAACACTAAAAAAATTAGTTCGAAAGAATGTGTAATGAAACAACTTTTAAGTGGTATAATTAGCATTTAAAATATCTGCATTAGTGAAAATATCAAAATGCAAATTTGTGAAAATATTGATAAATATATCAAAGATCGATATCGATATGGGTTGTTTCGATAAAAATAATGAAAATTTAAAATAAAACTTTAAAAATTGAAACATTAATTTGAACGAAATATAATCGACACATGCTATAAATTGTTTAGTTTAGGAGGGTTATTAAGTCAAGTGGTCCTTTAGAATGAAAAAAAGAAGACACAAGTGAGTCAATGAAAATGATAGGCAAGTCTCGTACGTCTGGGTACTGTTGGGGAATGGGAAAAGCATGGACCCCAAAGCTAAAGGAAAAATGGGTAAATGCATATGCATGTGATTGGTTTTGGGCCAAGCGGTCGGTCACATCAAGCCCACGGAATCTTGGACTCGAGTCAAGCAATCCTGTTTAGTTTTAGGCTCTTAGTAAGGTAATGATAGAGAGACGAAAATGATATGTCACAAAATAAGAATGTTAATCAATGTTTAAGTACAAATTTAATTATTAATAACTACATTATTTGAATTGTAAATTTAATTTCCTTAGCATTATATTTTAGCTAAAATGGTATTTGAAATTGAAAATCGATAACATTGATCTCTAAATTTGTTCACCATTATTCATTTTGGTCAGTACATCACAATTAAATAAAGACAAAATGTGAAATTTACTTTTCATTTTTACTAATTATTTTGGCGAATTATTTATTGAATTGCGGATATTTTTGTTATTTTAATCCTTATTTAATAAAAATAATTGACAGTAGCGGATTACTTTTATTGATTTCAAACTCAGGTAGCAAAGTACAAAATTATGACAATCTCAAAGGCTATTTGGGCTTAAATACCTTTATATATTAGTCAAAGGATTTTGTAACTGGTATGGTAACTCTCATCGGGGTAAACAAATAAACACCCAACCCATGTTCAATATTATAGTCTGATAATATTCTTCTTCACTTGTAAGTGAGAGATCTTAGGTTCAAATTTCGTGGATAACAAATTCAATATCAAATCAGGTTGCCTATTGTATGACTTAGCCGAACTCCATCTCCTTGGTGTAAAATACATCATTATATTGTTGTACTAAAAAAACATAACACCCAACCCACGCATAAGCAAACACAAGAAAATAAACCGAATAGGATTCTCTTCTCTCCTCTTTCCATCCGCTTCCATCCCCTCCTCTCACATTCTCTATTTTGTCTTTATCTTTTATAAAAAGTTAATATAAGATGTTGACGTGACTTAACCGTAACCGTTCAAATAAGAGGAAAGGGAAGGGGAATGAAAAAAAGAGGGAAGAAAATCTTACTCCGAAATAAACACCCACGAAACTCAACAGAATAATGGTGACAGAGAAAACAAGTACAAGGCATCTCTATCTCCTTTACTTGTCTGCTCGGTTAGTGCAATTCTATCTTTGGAGCATCAGCAGCAGATACAGACTTCAAGTCAAAATTACCTACCCTAACCCCCCGGGGGTTCAAGACCGCTTTAACTAACATATGCATGTGTATACGGTTGTACAAAAACTACCAAGGCTGCATTTCCTACATAATTCATCCACCTAAATTTTCCACATCCATAAACTATCAAGACCGCAGCATCTCTACTCGGCTTTCTTTGCAGAATCAGAATTTTCTTCCTTTTTGGACTTGCTAAGTGATCTTTGCGCTTCCAACACCGGCATATATGCTTCAGTTGTTTTTCTTAGAGTGTCCTTGGTTGCCTTGTCAGGCTCACGTGGGCTCGCCAGCTTCTTTTCAACATCTTCAAACTTGGCAGTGGCCAAAGGAGCCGTCCCCACATTCTTGTTAGAACTGGGTGCATCAATTGTGAGCATTGAAACCGCATCCCGGGCAGCATACCATGAATGACCACAGGCAATACACTCCAGCTTAAAAAAAAAAAAAAAAAAAAAAAAAAATGAATAAAAAAGTAAATTCAAGTTGCAACAAGCAACTAGGGATATAGCTCTGTCACAATCTAAATTACCCTTGAAAAAGCAATGTTCATGCATTCTTCCTTTTAACGAAAAGGCAAATGAAGTTAACAAAGCAAATGGCCATATCACCTATCAGTGAAATAAACAAGCAAATGTTGGAAAGAGGACTCAATGAGAACCAGAAAACTTTGTTAGATAGAGATAACGCAAAAACTTCTTTCATCCATCATCACCACCTATTTTAGTCAGACTACAGCTAAAATATCAAAAGTTTAGGGACTTAAACGTATGCAATTCAAACTTTGAAACAAAACAACTGATGTAGCGATCACAATGTGTAATACGCTGATCATAAGCTTTGATACATGTATGAAATCCAATGCTATAACTTTTAATTTAAAGGGAAAATTGGTTTGAGTTGCCAACTCAATAGTCATAGTTGATGCTTGCTTTATAGACAGTAGGTAGGACTTTCAGATTACTTAGGTTAACTCCCACTCCGCAATTGGTGTGATACCAGAAACATCTTTTCTTTTGGTATTTTTGTCGGAGCTGGACTATTTGACACCATAATTAGACCTCAAACATTACCCATTATTTTGTGTAGCTCCTAACAGTGGATTATCCCAGTTTATAAAGCAAAATGTAGTGGCAAAAGCAATTGCCACTTGCCTATAGACTATGGTTGGATGCATATCATATATTAATCTCTATATGCACTAACCTGATAGCGAGCACTGTGTCCTGCTTGAATAATGTCCCTAACTCCCACTTTGAACTCTGAGCATCTTGAGCAACGAGCGTCAGTCATCTGTTTCATGGGCAAGAAGTCAACAATGTGCACAAAACGTATGTACTGCAGAGCAAGAAGTCAACAATGGGTACAAATAAAATCACCTGCATACGCTCCCAATCATCAGGCTCCTTCTTTGCTCTCTCCTCAGCTGTTAAACCCTCCTGAAGTTCATTAAAACGTCACGTTTAATGACAAATCAAAACCTTGATAGCAAGAGCAACAATAGTATTATCACTTTTGTATAAAGTTGGCTATTGCAATTTGCAACAACATCTTGTCTGCTTATTATACACGGATACTCAAAAGGTATCATCTCAGGAGGACATACTCAACCCAGGGCAGAGGGAAGCACAGAAGCATTTTATTTTATTCTCAACTGACACCTTCATACTATGAGAGAAAAGGTGCAAGTAATCCGAGTCCCAGACTCCCAGCCAAGGCATAAATACCTAGAGAATTTGCTGAAGCAATCTTGACTCTACATCTTTCACCAAAAGCTAATATATTCCTTCTCTTCATCTAGTCCAACAATGGCAATAAAACCCCACATATGAACATCCACGAAATTACTCTTTAGTAAATCTTATGAACATCATTAAAAATATGCAAAAGAAAAGAGCAAATCAACTCAAACATGCCTTAATTCAACAGAAATGAAATAGTTTACATGAATTTCTGTGCTATTCCATAATAGGATACATTTTCATTAAATTTATCTCAGTCCTGAACCAGTAGAACTTTGTTTCATGTGACCAAACCGTCTCAGGCAATTTTCCATTATCAATGAAAAAAATTGGAGCACTCACGACCAAAATAGACCTCTTTAGATGTTACTGAAAAATTGTTAAATATGCATTCAAGATTTTGTTGCCAAAAAGGAATTGAAGTTTATTGATTTTTATAAACAAACAAATCAACATGCAGAACCTAAAACCTAAGAGTACCAACAATTTATCTATGGCTATCTGCTTTGAAGACTAGTTGGACCTAAAGCTAAAAGCATAAAGAGATTCTCTATGAATAACCCACTTCAACCCAAAGACCCAAATATCAAACACGTTTATCGTCTTTCACTTTCCTTGATAAATGCTCCACCAACCAAATGAACAGCCTTACCAAACTTTTTTCCTAGAAAAACCTTACATGAACATAAAAAAAAAAAAAGAAAGGAACAACAAACAAAGATATAAGTGACGTGTCTACAACCACTGTTGGCATAAATACCTTCCATCCCTCCAAAATTAGCTAACAGTAAGTTAGACTACAAGGAAGAATTAGTCAGCATAGATGTTACAAATATGTCCAGTGTGACCAAAAACAGCTAAAGAAAACTGGATCCGATCAAAATCGAATCAGAATTAATCTTCCTTGAGAATCACCATAAAAATCAACCACCTGCAAATCAAGCCATGATGAAGACCATACCTTTAACTCCTCAGGTGACATGTTCACTATTGTTAAAGGTTCCAACTCTCGATTTAGCAGACGACGGGCTAGGAATGAATTTTTCTGCAAAGAGAAGAAATATAAGAATAAAAAGAGAGAAAAAAAGACATTTGAATAGAAAACAAAGACGTTTGAAGACTAAAAAAAGTTTGGACCTCAAACAAACCAAAAATACAATGTTCATTTATGAATGGAAAAATGCATCATTCTTAAAACACAGTTGGAAGGTCTTTTCAAGAGTATGTTATCTGCACACATATGCATGACCATGAGCATATGAGCACACCGAGCCTTCTGACCTGGAGATTGAATCCCAGTTGCCGCAACTTCTGGTTATACTTTTGGAAATCTGAGGAGAGAGACTCATGCGAGGCCTTCTCTAGAGAAGTAACTGCACGAACAGCATCCTCTGGCCAGAGAAAAGACGTGTTGCCACTCTGAAAAGACAATAAAGTTAACGTGTGAGTTATAACATCTCCCAGAGACTCCACTCCCGATTTCCAGTGCACCCTATTTGTCAGAAAACCAAAGGATAAATATAGAGCAGCCAAACTGAGGGGGGAAATGCATTCACTACATACCTTGAGATTATCCTGAGATCCATTTCCAACTTCTGTGGACTTACGGTCACTTTCTTGATCAATATCATCAGAGCCAGATTTTCTCTTTTCAATACCGTTTGTAGTGTCAGCAGAGTTCCATACGTGGTGCCGGATATTTTGTAGAAGTTTCTCCAACCATCTGTCACGTAGTGTGTCTCCAGTTAGTGCCATGGACTTTGCTAAAATGGAATGATATTCTGAGTTGCTTGTTGGGCAGCTTCCAGGCGTTTCAGCTTTTTGATTGTGACCAGGCCTAGCAGTTGCTTCTTCCACCCTAGAAACATCAAGGGGTGATATATTCTTTTTAATCAGACCCCTTTTAGTCTTCAACTGATCATCCTGATAAGCATTGTTATCTGCAATCTCTATATCAGGAAGTTCTCCCAATAGTTTAATAGTTTTCTGAACTAGCAAGTCAATCTCATGTTGCTTATCCTCTTCGTAGTCTCTATCTGTCAGCTTCCAGAGTTTTTTCCCTTGGGTGTCATACACCTTTTGCACAATGAAGCCAGGATGCTGTTTACGACTTGGAAGCTGTTTGTTTAACGGAACAAAATGCACCAAACATTTATGCATTACAGATTCTGCAGGAACCTCATCACGATGGAAACTATAGAACAGCTCCCTTGTATCAGTTGACTGCCAGTTTCCACCAGCTTTTTTCTCTGCCTCTTCAGGACGATAAAACCACTGTCCCAATACCATCATGCTCCCACCTCCGGTCCTACTTATATCCTAATTAATCCCCAGTTCCAACAGTCAGAAAATTAAAATTAAGTCATTGTGAATGTGAAGGACATGAAAGAGAATAAGTGCATACAAATAAAAAAAACAGAAAGCAAATCTGTTGTCCATAACTTCAAATAACTAGAAGCCCACCAAAAAGCGTAATAGAACACAGACCAACATGCCAAGAAACTTGAGGAAAAATATTCAAGCAAATGATGTATAATTAAATAGTCAAAGGTGAGGACAAAGTGAATCACAGGGTGAGAAGTGAATAACAATACATGAAGCAATCAGCATGCTTATCCCCATGTGGTTCACCTGTATTTGAGACCGTCACCATGTATATATGACCCCTATATCTTTGTTACATCTATAAATGTTCTTTTGCCAGAAAATGCACATCTGCTAGTAGTATAGTTGTTTCCTCGTGATCTTAAATCAACATATACTAGAAGAAAAGCGGGTGACCCAATCATAGAAATCTTCATCATATAAAATCCCCTACAGTTAATTGTTTTCAACCAAAAAGATATCACCATACTAAAAAATAACCATGTTTCACAATCTGAACAATTTGTCATAACCTGAATTTCACTTCTGATCTACTATATATTTAGAAACTAGGACCTCAAGTAATGAAATGCAAATAAATTGAACAATGTGAAAGGCAAAATGTTTAAAAGAACCAAAAATAATATACATGTACAAAAGTGATAATATGATTTCATAAAGCATGTACCTTGATAATTGCCACATAAGGCTTTTGTTTTGTATCCTCAGGAGTTAGAAGAACCGGATCCTCCTACAGAGTGATTAAATGATCAGCACAAAACATTAATGAAATAAACAAGTGATACCTCATTTAAAAATCAAGAGATATTCAGAACCTAGGGAATCTGAATCAAATAAATGAGCTTTTCAAAATCTAAACCATTTGAAAATTATATATATATATATATATAGACACACAAAAAACGTATCACACAATATCAAGATGGAAAAAAAAGAGGACAGTACACAAAACCAACAGGTGTACAGAAGTTCAAGTGGCAACAACATTTGTCAAACATCCTGAGCATAAAAATATATAGAAATATCACATTTAACATGAAACACTGACAATTTTCTGTATGTAAGGAAAGCATACATTATACCAACAGCAAGAAACAGAAGAAAAAGATAAGCAATGAAAAATCTTTACAAAGACATGTAATTTGAATTTTACAGTATCTTCTTGTCAAAGGACAAGAAGAGTATGGCTGCTGGAGACTCAAAACACAGAAGGTCTATGGAAAACACTCAAATCTGAAGCTTTCATGTACCTAGAGCTGACACTCATCCCATGTTTTCGTAGCATATCAGCTGAGGACCTATTTGCTTCAAACTCATAAGAAGACTATTTGCTTCAACATAAAATTTTCTGGTTCGGAATTGAACATGCAAAATTACTTCTCCTCTACAAACCGCATGTAGAGTTCATCCAGGAGGGGAAACATAAAAAATATCCAAAAATAGGGGAAAAAAAAGCTATGTTTAACTAATAGACAAAAATTTCAGAACATTCAATTGCCCCCCTAATCACAGGAAGACGACAACGAGTTTGTCTGCATACAAAACTCAATCATTCCCTTTTGGAAATTTGGACAATATGTTTTCATCCAATCGTTAACTGTCTTAGACAAAAATGCAACTCGAATTCTAAGATTCCCAGTGGAAGTTTAGTTGCTTAAATTGCCCTACAAAGGGGCAGAGATGTTCCAAATTAAATGATACCACAATGCCAGCTTAAACAACAACATTTTCCAAACAATAAATAGTAAATATTCTTACTTTGCAGCAATGAATCAAAACAAAAACAAAATTCAACCAAAGAACCACCCAATTCGCCAAACCCTACAAACCCAACACCAAAAGTTTCAAGATATAAAAAAAAGTACCCAGAATTCACAATTTCTTAAATTCTTAAATTTAAACCAATTAATCAAACAATGCGAGAAAAATCAGAACCCTAAAACCCAAGCACCAAACACAAAATCCCAAAACCCAGCCCGAAAACGCGAACTGACCAGGTCAAATCGGGTCCCGTCGTACTCAAACGCCTTGTAGTGCTGCCTCCGGCCCCTTCCCTTCCCGGAAAGCTTAACGACCTCGCCAATCGGCTTCGCGTCCTCCACCACGTGTGGCTCCTCCTCCTCGTCTTCGCTACCCGACGCCGTTTCGGCCTCTTTCTCCTTCCCTCTCCTCTTCTTCTTACTCTTCTGCTTCTCCTCCTCCCCCGACTCCTCGTCGTCCCCTTCTCGAAGCTTCACCTGCTTCCTCTTCCGCGACGATGTATCCCCCGCCGACTGCTGGTGGCTCCGGGGTACGACGTCGTCGTCTTCGTCGTCGCTCGTCGTGACCTGCGCAAACCGCCGGTTCCTCATGATTTTTCCAGGCGAAACGCAGCGTTTTGGTAATCTTATTGTCAAGGGCCCTTCTCTCTCTCTATCTGCTGTGTCTCAGACTAGGAAGCTCTGAGGACGATGACGTGGGTCGTCGCGGTATTTAAACCGACGCCGTTTGGGATCCCAAAATGGGCGTTGTACTTTTCCGGAATTTCGGATTTGCCACTGTTAGAGGCTGCGTTTATTTTGGAGAATAACGGGCTCAGCCGGCTATTAGTAGTAGTTTTTATCTTCACTTATAATCTTAAGTTTGATTATTGTCAAATGTGAATTTGAATTACATTATTGTTAGTCTATTGTGAGGCTTAGTTTACCCCCTCCACCTTAATGGAGATAATATTATTTGTTCAAAGAAAAAAAAATTTGTGGCTCGTGGGGTTTCATGTGTTTGTAATCGAGTACAGGATATGAGGATGCTCCCTACCTAACCACCGATTTCATCCTTATTTAATGTTGTTTCATATTGTTTAATGTTGTTTCATGTTACTTAATTTAATATAATGTTGTATAATGACCCAGGACGTTATATGAAAAAAAATAGAATTTAAAATAAAATGAAACAAATTTTGTGAAATAGAAGTTATAGGAAAAAAATGGAATTTAAAAAAAAATACGAAACAAATTTTGTAAATATAATGAACGTATTCCTATTGGTTAGAATCGACAGGATTTCCATTTTTTCTAGCCAGCCCCAGGTTGGCTGGCTGGCTACATGCAGCCAGCCCTCCAGCCCTTTCCGATTCCATGGGGCCCTCTCAGATTCCACAGCCCTCTGGCCTTCTGGATCCTTCGGTTGGAGATGTCATGAGGATAATAGTTCATATATCTATTATGCTTCAACGTAGAGTATTGGTGCCCCACCGAACGCCGTTTTTGCAAGTGTAGTTAATCCGTATACATGTGTCATTTTACCAATGAGGTGGTATTGACTAGAAAGGGAAATGCCAAACAAATACAAAGATTACTAGCATAATTTAGCACTAATACTATTTTTAATCAATTAGTCATTGTTATCTATACTATTACTAAGAGACAAAGCTGCACGACACTTAATATTATAATCTATTAGTATTCATTTTAACTTGTAAACGAGAGGTTTTAGATTTGAATTTAAAAAATAACGAGTTATCAACTAAAAATGACAAAGCTGGCTTTTAGCCAAGACAGATAATGCCTATGTGTTTGGACTACTCGTTGGTTAAAAATTTAAATCTTTTGTAAGTAGCATATAAAAAGTAAAAACACGATCCAAAAACAAACTTGAAGATGCAGGGGTGAAGCTTTAGAGGTAAACTTGGATGTGTTTCTTTCCTCTTCTCTTCAATGTGTTCTCCTCTCTTACTTGGATGATTGTTTTATAGGCAAAGTGCCTTTCAACCTAAGAAACGTACCAGGAAACTTTCTCTTCACTTAAACCTAAGAAACATACTAGGAAACTTTCTCTTCGCTTATTTTGGAGAATAACGTACCAGGAATTTTGGATTTGCCACTGTTAGCGGCTACGTTTATTTTGGAGAATAATGGGCTCAGCCGGCTATTAGTAGTAGTATTTCTCTTCACCTATAATCTTAAGTTTGATTATTGTCAAATGTGAATTTGAATCACATTATTGTTAGCCTATTGTGAGACTTAGCTTACCCCATTCACCTTAATAGAGATAACATTGTTTGTTCAAAGAAAAACAAATTCGTGGCCCGTGGGGTTTCGTGTGTTTGTAACCGAGTACAGTATGTGAGGATGCTCCCTACCTAACCGCCGATTTCATCCTTATTGTCTTAAATGCAAGCCCATGAGGCCATCTCCAATCGAGGGCTGGCCAGAGGGCTTGTTTTAGCCCTCTGGCCCTCCAAAATATTAATATTTTAATGAATAGTACATGGTTATATTTGCCTCCGTCTCCAACCGAGGGCCAAAGGGCTAAAGAGCTTGTTTTAGCCCTATCATAAAAAACCGTATCCAACCGAGGGCCAAACATAATTTATTATTTAAAAACTACAACTTAAATGTTGTTTAAGTTTCATGTTGTTAAATGTTTTTTTTTATGTTGTATAATTTTTATATTGGTTAATGTTATTTAATGTTGTTTCATATTGTTTAATGTTGTTTCATATTGTTTAATGTTGTTTCATGTTACTTAATTTAATTTAATGTTGTATAATGGCCTAGGAAGTTATAGGAAAAAAATAGAATTAAAAAAAAATATGAAACAAATATCGTGAAATAGAAGTTATAGGTGAAAAATAGAATTTAAAATAAAATGTAACAAATTTTGTGAAATAGAAGTTATAGGAAAAAAATGGAATTTAAAAAAAAAATATGAAACAAATTTTGTAAAATAATGAACGTATTCCTATCGGTTAGAACCGACAGGATTTCCATTTTTTCTGGCCAGCCCCAGGCAGCCAGCCTTCCAGCCCCTTCTGATTCCGTGGGGTCCTCTCAGATTCCATAGCCCTTTGGCCTAGCCCTCGGTTGGAGAAGGTTTTCGGGATATTTTCGGCCCTCTGGCCATCTGGACCCTTCGGTTGGAGATGGTCTAAGGATAATAGTTCCTATATCTGTTGTGCTTCAACGTAGAGTATTGGTGCCCCACCAAACGCCGTTTTTGCAAGTTTAGTTAATCTGTATAAATGCGTCGTTTTACCAGTGAGGTGGTATTGACTAGAAAGGGAAATGCCAAACAAATACAAAGATTACTAGCATAATTTAGCACTAATATGATTTTTAATCAATTAGTCATTGTTATCTATACTATTACTAAGAGACAAAGCTGCACGACACTTAATATTATAATCTATTAGTATTCATCTTAACTTGTAAACAAGAGATTTTAGATTCGAATCTAAAAAATAACGAGTTTGCAACTAAAAATGACAAAGCTGGATTTTAGCCAAGACAAATAATGCCTATGTGTTGGACTACTCGTTGGTTAAAAATTTAAATCTTTTGTAAGTAGTATATAAAAAGTAAAAACACGATTCAAAAACAAACTTGAAGATGCAGGGGTGAAGCTTTAGAGGTAAACTTGGATGTGTTTCTTTCCTCTTCTCGTCCGTGTGCTCTCCTCTCTTACTTGGATGATTGTTTTGTAGGCAAAGTGCCTTTCAACCTAATAAACGTACTAGGAAACTTTCTTTGACAATTTTTCATACTTGGTAGATCACATTTTACAATGAACATTTACACCATACAACATTATTTAGTATACAAATCAATTCTCATTTGCCTACAATGTAGCAGTATTCTAATCATCTATAACTAAGAGGTTGAATGGTGAGTAGTGTACAGTGGCGGATCTATTAAGGGACCAGGGTGGTCTCGGGACCACCCGAAGCTCGGAAAAATGGTTGTGAGGATCTTCAAGGACCACCCAAGTCTGGGCAGTGATGGAAGAAGAACAGCAGCCATGGCTGCTCTGGTCGTGTGCATTTCAGAATGGGGAAGAAGAAAGCCAATTTTTTTTTAAAATGACTTGGCCAAAACGACGTCGTTTTGAGCCAAGTCATTAAAAAAAATTTAAAACCTCACTGCCCACTCACGTGAGAACCCTCAGACTCAGCTCCTTCACACAGCAATCACAAGAAGTTCAGAACTTCACTTTACCAAATCGTTCAACTCTCTTCGTTCTCGTTACCAAATCCTTCACACAACAAGGTCCGCTCTCGTTCCTTACGGCGTCGGCATCGATCAACTCTCTTCTGCACTGCACTCTAGTTTCTGAATCTGATATTGTAATTTTGATTACACTGCACTCTAGTTTCTGAATCTGAATCTGCACTGCACAGCAATTCAGAACTTCACTCTCTTCTTGCTCTCGTTCCTTCAGGTTTGTACATGTCTCAGTACTCATGAAGATGTTGTCAAATTTCATTTGCTTCATTGTTATGTTAGTTTTCTTTTTTATACGACTAAGTGGAATAAAACCTGTGCACGAGTCTTAGCTCAAGTGGCTTAGGAAGACGAGATGGAAATGTTGGATTCCCCTCGTAACCGAAAATTCACTGCAGGAGAGAGATACTCTCTAGCCTGCAGAATGTGTTATTATTATAATCTGTTTGAAAACCTTAATTCACATATAATGCATTGTATCATATTAAGCTAGCCTTCCAATTTGTCTTACACTGCATCATTAACTCTGTCCATTAAATCCACTATCTGAATCTACCGTGTCTGATAGTAACCAAGATAATTTCACTCAGTCCATGATTTATTGCTGTCCGTTATACGAAATAGTTTCACATAACTCAAACTTCATTCAAAACCTTTCTGCATCCCCTCCCAAAAAAGAAGAAATAAGCCTAGAATAACTTTTTCCAAGCAACTCATAAGTCAATCAACTGAAATTGAACCATGATTTGGTTCTAGAACAACTGAAACTGAAATTGAACCATGAAATTGAATCATGAAATTGAACCATGATTTGGAGAAAAAAAAATTGAAAAAGAAGCTTGCAGTTAGGTGGAGAAACAGATGATGCCTGTATGGTTGTGTTAGTTGGAACATATTGATATGTTCAATGGATTATGATTGGAAGGGTCGTGACTTGTGGATGTGAAGTTGGGGGTCTAGTAATTTGATATTAAATTATTTGCATTTCATAGTTTTCATCCAATATCCATTTCACAAAAGCAACCAAAATTATTTAATGCAAATTATTTAATCACATTCTTAAAGTTTCAAATTGAAAGAGTTTATAGGATGATTTTGTTTAATTTCTGCAGATTAAAAACGGAGATGTGCGAAATTTGGCAAACACTGAGTTTCTTCTAGTGAAGAAGGATTGGTCTTCTGAAATTCAGGTATGTGATTGATCACAAGGAGTGTTCTTTATACATATTTCTATTTGATTTGTAGCTATTTTAAAATTTCCGTTTGATCCAAAGGCCATTGTCAGGAGGTCAAATTTGAAATGCAAGGTTTATTAGGAACTAAAACTTAACTGTGTCAATTATTCTTTTATTTTCTTCAATAATGTAATGAGGTTGTATCGTATTTATTTTACTATTTAAGTGGTCTAATTGGACTGTTAAAGATGGTAATTGGTTGATTTGATAATATGGTTTGATCAAGAGAGGACTAGGGATTGGTTTCCTTTAACATCCAACTGCCCCGATAGTGTAAATTATTTTGAACTTGATAGCATACTTATGTTTTGTTATCACTGCCTTATTGGGATCATAATAAAGGAATAAGGGCAGGGTTCATGTACAAGCATAGTGTTCATTAGGCAGAAATTGTCTAGAAAATGGTGTGTAATGTGTTGGCTATATGTATTGTGAATTGGAGTGTCCAACTAGTTTGTGATGCTAAAAGGGTGTGTAAAAATTTGTGCTTTCTTTCGATATTGTTTCCATGCTTGTTTTATGAACTTGAGGTGGTAGTGGAATTGCAGGGACTATTTTGTAGAGTATAGTGAGTTGATCAAGCTGCAACCTTTGGAAGGCGTAAACTATATATTCTACAATATGTGCGTTTCTCACAAGTGCAAGGTATGTTTTCGTTCACCTCTCTAGCATTGCCTTTGTGTCTGCATTTTTGCTATATGCATCTCTAGCATTGCCATAGTGTTCATATAATTTAGTATGAGATCCCGTCGTGGACAAATTTAGTATTTCTAGCTTGTTTAGCACAAAGATTATGAATGAAATTTGTAGTTTGCCATTTATTTGTTCAATGATATTTTCGTCTTGTTTTTTTTTTTTTTTTTTTGAACTTTTATATTAGGACCACCCTAAGTTAAAATCCTGGATCCGCCACTAGTGTATGTTTTTTTCCTCCTATATTTGTGAATATCGACAAAAATTTTGGGTAAATTACACAAAATTACCTTAACTATGGGTCGAATCACAATTTCATACCTCATATTTTGAATAATGTAATGTCATACCTCAACTTATAAATTCGTTGTAATGTCAAACCTCTGTTAAATTTTATGTCAATTTGGTTTTTAAATGATGACGTGGCAGGAATGAGGCTCATTCGTGTAAGTGGAATAAAATAATAATTAATTAAAAAAAAAACACTCTTCTTCGTTTTCCCCCAGAACCCGTTCGTCTTCCCCTCATCTTCGATCGCCCTTAGTACGCATCCAAGTTATCCAACCAGATACTCCCCGACAGATGCGTCATTGTCAGAGGAGGAAGAAAATCCTTCTACGAGTTGTACCCCAAGAAAAATGACGAATCGTACGAAAAATGTTCTACTTCCAGTTCTTGGCGGCAGTGGAGAAGCCAGGATTTGTCGGGAGGTGGGGCAAACTTTCGAAGGGTAAATGGTCCCAAGAAAATGTAGACAATCAAATCCTTTTAAATAGTAGACAATATGAATGTCATTCTTAATTTATCAATACAAACAAATTACAATTGTTGACGGTGATATTTTATGTCATGAAAACATCACATAATAGACTTATTATCAATACAAACAAAGACACATCTCTTAATATAAACAACCATGCCATCACGCGATCATTGATGTACCATTTCATCATTCCTTTGATGAATGATGGAGTGTACGGATTCTCCAACATTCATGAGTGAGGGGATTATTTAATATATCCCAACTTAATGAGTGACTTTTATTAAGAAGCCACTATTTTCCTGTTATTTTTGTAGTCACAACCTCTTCAAATAAGAAGTTGCAACTCCCACAAGCTTAAATTCACAACTTCTTTGAGATGGTTGTTTTACAAATGAAAGGAATGAGCTCCATGAGACCACTACAGGTTAGTGGCGATATCCATTAGGAACGTTGTGTTATTATTTTAGACAAATTCTTGCTCAAATAAAGATTACATTATAATTAATAGTTCATATATGATTAACAATCTAATAGTACAACATGTCGAATCATATTACAAGAGGAAACATTTTTTTTTTCACGTGCATTTACATTCCCCACACTTTTTAATGTAGATAATATTGTATGTATTTCAATAAAAATGCATATTATCTATACAAATACAAACTCTTTTAGTTAGGGGTTGTTTTATACACACACTACAGTTTTATGACAACACTCCACATTAAAAAACTTTCTCAAAAATTCCTACTTTGTCCCTCGTTCTTCTGAAGCCACCCCACATCCCCACCCCAAAAAACAAAAAGCATGCCTGGCAGCCCTAATTCGACAACCAAATATATATGATTACCTCCATCAACATCGGCTGGAAACTCCCATTTCATTGGTTACAATCCAACACTTCGACTCACCAACCCGGATGCTCCTTTATACATTTATCACCTTCGTCGTTGAAGTCGTCGTCCTGCACATGCCACCCCATCGTGGCCCCTCTTTGTCTCTCACTATCAAAGAAACATAAAAAATAAAAAAATAAAAAGCCAGACATTTCCTCTAGAGTATCAGATGCAAATGCAATAGAGAGTGAGAGAGAGAGAAATTACGATTGGTTGGGCCTTTTTGCCTCTTTGCAGGAGGTGTAGCCGTTGGCAAGGAATAGTTAGGTGGCCGAGGTTTTCAATATCTACTAGCTTGAGTTAAATAGGGGTAAAGGGCGAAATTTTAGTGAAAAAATTAAGGTGTGGGGTGTCTTCATAAGATTGTGGGGGTGTTAATAGAATTACCCATAAAAGGCTCCTTGCAAATATTTTGATTAGTGGTAATAAAATTTGATAAGTATAGGCCATATATGGCATCTAATTAACCTGTTAATCGGATTTAAAAACTTAGCTAGTTATCGAAACTATAACAAATAGATCACCAAAAACTTAGCAAGAAAAATATACCATATTTGGATTTTGGAATGCCAGAACCTGCCATCTCATCTCATGGCAGATCGCCACCTCATCACAAAGTGCGTCGATGGGTGTGTATAGGGGTCCCCTGCTACTTTGTTCTTCGTTTTAACCAAACGAATTGTTTCACTTAAATTATGTTTTCCATCCCAGGTCCAAACGACATTGTTTTGGCTTGGGTTTCTGAAGAAAAAAGGGAATTCCTTGCCTATCGCAGCGCCTTAACAACGCCACAACAGAGCAGCAGCAGTAAGTAGAGGGGCAGAATCTCGTTTTTAGGCTTGATTTTAGTCTCTCCTAGGCTTTATTTCTGGGGAGGGGAGGGGCGGCCGCCCCTCCATGTCCCTCTGTAGCTTTGCCTATGTTTGGTGGAGACCAACGACCATGGCCAGGAGAACAATCTTCACCCATTCTTGCACCTTTTGCCTGACGACAACCTCTTCATCTTCGCAAACAACCACTCATTACAATAACAACTAGATCGTTAAGAACTCCCGAGTATGCTTGTCACCGTCAAGCAGAACTACCTAGTACGGGGTCCTCTGTCCTCCTCCCACTCAAACTGAACGGGCTCCCAAATCATTCACCAACAATTTTTTTCCTTCCAAAAATTGCTAATAAATTGGGAAATTTGAAGATTTCAGCCCCAGTTATGAAGGGGTTCTGGGGAGAAAGGAGGGGAGGACGAACATGTTATGGGAAAAAGGAAGAAGGAGAGATTTTTTTTTGTTTTTTAATTAATTTAAATTGTTAAATAAAAAATTATTAATTTATTCCACTTGGCAAAAGAGCGATCCCGTTCTTACCATGTCATCATTTAACAACCAAATTGACAGAAAATTTAACGGAGGTCTGACATTGCAACGAATTCATAAGTTGATGTATGACATTGCAATGTTTAAACCTGAGATATGAGATTGTGATTCGACCCATAATTGAGATAATTTTGTGTAATTTACCCAAAAAATTACTTATTGCACTAAAACATGCCTACATATTATATACTCATTTTTTTTTCCAACAACGTTTTTCTCATCTTTTAATAATCATCTCGCTAGAGAGAATTAACCATAGAAAACATATTGAACAAGAAAATTGAGTTTTTACTATAAACTAATTAACAGTGTGAGGAGTGACTCAAAACTTCTTATAAACTCTTGCACGATTGTCAATAATGATTTGTCTTTCATTGTGTTTCGAGTTCAAACTATTTTCCTTTAATGTGAATTAATGTAAAAAAACTCTTACAATAAATAAAATCCTTCAAAGTTTGGTCCTTGTCCAATATAAGATTTTATCTTTCACACCTCACAATTGCATGGAGGTTTCTGTCTTAATATTGCAGTGCCTACCTGCCCTAGTGTTTCTTTTAATAGGTAGGGTGAGAGGTGGTGTTAGACAAGTAGGAAAATAATTAGAATTAAATTATGATTGTATTCCTAACTAGTAGGAATAGTTCTTGCTATGCAAGGAATGTAATTGTATATATACTTATTCACGTATCAATGAAACATACTTATCAGCCCATATATCTTTTTCTACATTGTATACAGAGCAGGTTTCAAACCCTAGCTTTTTTTTTGGGTAAATTACATTTTATCCCCTCAGGTTTCAGTGCAATTACAACCTCATTAAACATCTTTAAAACATTTCAATCTCATACATTTAGTATTATTTTATTTCAATTTCATACAACTGTTAAAAAAATCTGTTAAGTTAACCGTTAAGTGATGACGTGGCAAATATGGGGTTCTCATTTGTGCTAACGTGGCTAAACACTTAATAAAAAATTTAACATATTAAAAAAATTAATTAAAGGAAAGTTAAAAAAAAAAAAAACCAAAAATCCCCTTCATCTTCCCCACCCAAGCCCACCCCCTTCTCTCATCCCCCATCACCCGCCTCTTCTCTCATCCCCTATCAAACACCAACTCCCCCTAACCTCCGCCCCCATCTGGTTTTCAAGCGGTTCGACCTTTTCCTTCGACCACCTTTATCCACCCACCAAGCTCATGTTCGATTGCAGCAACATCGAGCCTCCTCAAATCGTGACTTCCAGCATCGTCGCTGCTGCCTGATATCATACCTGCCTTATGCAATTCCTTCGTGATAGGTAAGGGGTGGCTGCAGCGTGTTACTTGGGGTGGGAAAAATTTGGGGCTAAGGGTTGGTGATGGTAGAAGGAAGATGAAGAAGGGGACTTATGATTAGATAAGGGTGTAGAAGTGATAGGGGAAGGGGTGGATCGGCCTGCGACCTGGGGTGAGAAAATTTTGGAGCAAATGATTAATGATAAAAGAAGGAAGATGAAGGGGATTTATGGTTAAAGAAAGGTGTATAAGTGATGGGGGAAAATGGTGGAGTCGTGGAAGGGATGAAGGGGTGGCTTGGGTAGGGAAGATGAAGAGGGGGTTTCTGTGTTTTTCTTTAATTAATTATTTTTAATTATTTTTATTAATTGTTTAGCCATGTGGACAAATGTGGCAGCCACATCAACACAAATAGGGATCCTATATTTGCCACATCATCACTTAATGGTTAACTTAACAGATTTTTTAACAGTTGCTCCTCAATTTCTTAGGCTGAAAAACAACGTTTGTGGGGGCTGACTTTGTTTTGCAGACCAACCTCTAGCCATGGTGGTTCGTGGTTTTTCCCGTACTTCCTCCGACCATCCTCATCTCCACTGTACTTATTGCAACTACGACTTCCACACACACGAAACTTGTCACAAACTTCACGATTACCCTGTTGGCCATCCCCTTTATAAATAACCGTGGAGGCCACCTTGTCGTTCCTCAATGTCTGCTACTTCTAATGCTTATGCTGGTTACTCATGCAGCAACAACGCTGTAAGTTCTAGATGCAACAACAACACTATTGGTCTTCGACCCAACAATAGCCACCAGGCCCGCACCACTACCCCTGTCCCTCCATCAGCCTATCAC